CAGGGGTCTGCCAGCGGCACAGCGGCATGGCCAGACACACGCCTCCCACGCCAAATGCCACCCCGCAGCAGGACACCGCCGCACGGCCCACCGTCCGTCCCCTCCACAACGCTGGTTCAGTTTTTTTGGTCCAAGGGTCCCTATGTGGCAAGAGGGACCCCCAGCCCAACTGGCAAAACTCAAACGGAGACCAATCAGCGTCATCGATGGATGCTGGGAGCTTAAGACGGGAGCCAAATGCTGGCGTTTAAGACCAATGAGTCTGCAGAGGCAACACAGGGGGCTAAGGATCAGCACTGCTCCCTTTATCTTCCTACCATGGGCTTCAGACTTACAGAACTGAAGGTATCAGTGCCGGCATGCGCTACTGGCTCACCACAAAATGCAAGAGAAAGGGGACCATACCTTGCACACCACAGGTTCCCTGTGGAGCTGGCGGTCTCCTGCCGTGCTCTGCTCCGTGCTCGGGCGCCTGGCGCTTGTACATCCTGTGGGGCTGCGCCGCCCCACCCTCCCGAAAGCTGGTGGACACCGGTTCGATGAAATAGTCCTCGTGCATGAGCTGAAACACACCTTTCTGGCAGGGAGAGACAAAGGCGTCAATGTGAAATCATCTGCTTCTAGCACAGACTCACATTGAAGAACCTGGGAACGGGAGAGGGTTTGCAAAATTTTCCAGGATGAAACAGGTCTTTCTCTAAAGAAACTGTTTTTATGGATATTTTGAGCTCTAAACTCCCGGACAAGAGAGAAGCAGCTGGCACGGAGTGATCGTTAAGCAAGCAAAAAGCCAGAGAGATCCCATCACAAGGTGCAGATGGGTGGTGAACCCAACGGGTGTCTGATAGCGAGGAGCTCAGGGACCGCAGGGATGCTGAGGCAGAGAAACGCCTTCTCCAGAGAACCCGAGCGCACCAGGAACAGGCGCACACAGGGTCTCAGACCGTGCTCTCCCTGACCTCCCTGGAGATGCCCCGGGGAGCCCAGGCAGACAGCCCAAAGGACGGCTTTGACCACACTGCAGCACCACTGCTTTGAGTACGTGTTGCACAAACGGAGGTGTTTTCCCGAGGATATCCTCGTCAGACGCAGCCAGCTGCTTCTGGCCTTTTGCACTGCCCAGGCACCACCACTGCGAACGACCGAGTTACAGACTTCCCGCGGTCAAAGACCAGAAAACCTCCAGGGAAGAGGAACCTGCAGGAGCACTCGATCGTGGCAGGAACTCCAATCAAAGAAAGTCAGTCCCAGGACAAGGAGCACGGCCCCTCCGTGCAGCAACGGGAGGATGTGTTCTTGGCATCTCTCCTTTAGCAGGAAACGACACCCTAAAACTTTCTTTGGTTAATTACGACCCCCCTGACCTGGCCCAGCTGCAACACGTGGTTACGGACTCACCCAGGACTGCCCAGCTGCATCCCAAGAACAAACAGGCGCAGCGGCAGTCTGAGAAGCTCTTCGCAGGGCCAGCTTCATCCCAAGGAACAGGAGCTCCCGTGGGAGCCTACAGCATCACTCGGCCAGGCAGGGTGCTGCCGCGAGCAGCGTTTTGTAAAGGTATTTTGTGCCCTAAGACAACTCCGTGGCTGCTCTCGGTTGTTTCAGAGCAGCCGTGCGGTGTCTGGAGCAGGCTGAGGAGCCCTACGCTTACTGGGGAGCCCGTTCACGCTCAGCTTTGCTCACCATGCTTTTGCTCTGACATGTTTAGCACTCGCACAGCCCAGTACAAGGCAGGGACAAAGAGAGAAGATCAAAACATGCCTCCACAACTGTTTCCAAGACACAACAGGATTGAGCCTACTAGTGATGCCTTCTCACTACTCATGCGGTGCCGGGGAAGAGAAAACGGCTTCCTCCCTGATTAACTCCTTGCAAACGTAAAATAACAAGGAGGAAACACCATGGGGATGGGGAAGGAAGGGAAGGAGGCCACAGATACGATTCCTTCTCTGTTTCCTGACACAGGTCATTCTGAGCCAGGAAGGGAACAGAGATCCCTGCCCCGGCTGAAATCTGCCCAGGGTGCCCAGCACAGGGGCCACGTTTTGGCACCGGTTGGTTCTGCAGTAGCACTGGGTGGCATTTGCTGCCCGTGGGAAGGTCCGGTTCTCCCTGTTTAAAACACACCTGATTAACCTTCCTGCACCTTGCGTGTCCCAGTCCACCCCAGTAAGCAGTGCCAGCATCCCTAACCCCTGCCTCCCTTACGCTCACTCATCACGGTCTGCAACGGGAGTAAGAAATAGCCTTGGCGAAGGGTGGAATTGCACTGGCAAAACTACATAAGCGAGAGTAGAACCCAGCTTTTATGCCTATATTTTATTGTAAAATCATTGACAGGACAAGCTTAAAGTCTTATAGTAGCGTTGTAAGAAAGGCGAAGCCTGGCTGTGGGAGCAGGGATCTCGGAGGTTGGCCGAGGGTGTCAAACACGGTACGGGCGCTGCGTGCCGCACCGGTAACGAACACCGGAGCAGGGGCTGCACCGGGGACGGCACCGGGAACCTCGGCCCCTCGAGGCGCTGATGCGATTCGGTTCAACAGGTGAGGCTGCCACACGCCAGAATTTCGGGAGAGCCCATCCGTGCTTTACAACTGGGAATGGCAGAGGGCTTCCAATGCAGCAACGCTGGGCTTGAAATAGAAGGTATCACCACCATATTACGTGCCTAAACGTAACAGACTGCCCTAGCCTACAGCTCTATGCCTCCCACACCAGCGGCGTTGTTTACACCCTGTAATACCAAACACCCTTACAAGTGGTGTGGGAGTAATTCCCGGTGACGAAGCAGTAGCTCAGAACACCCTTGACTTCCCGTAATAATTATGAGACACGCAGCACACTGCTAACCGCAGTTTTCTGTGGTTTAGTAGCTGCCTGACCAAAAGCCGTGGTTATTTTAAGACTGAGTAGAGAAGGTTTAAAGCAACTTCAGGCTGAGTTTTGCTCACCACTCGCAGTTTATGGGCTGCAGACCCTCTCACAATGTTGTGCTAATGCCTCTTGTGAGCTAACAATTTTTTCTGCTCCTTAAAAAATAACACTGACCCACAGTATTTGCATGATACCGTTCATTTTCAACAGACTTTACAGACCTTAAAGACGGGGTTCACCAAACACCACTATGAAACAGGTGTTTTCAGGTGACACGTTATGTGGATGGCAAATTATTTAATGAGCAACTTCTTTTTTTATTCTCCCATCTGTGGCTAATCGGCAAAGAGAAGTTTAATTCTCTTAACCAGAACATATTTCGAATGACCTGGGTGAACATCCTTCAGCCCATTCACTATTAGCAGCTTGGTTTTGCCTCACTCACACTCCAAGACTGGATTTCTAAGTCTGACGGCAGATTTCAGCTCGCTGGCAGGACAAGGCCACGCAAACATTTCCAGAACCGTCATATATCACCATCATATACGTCCCTGTGCAAACACACATTCACGGGAGCGTTTGTGACATTTGGACTTCTGTGTACGCTGCAGCCATCAGCCATCATCTCACACAAACATTCACAGAAGATGAATCAAAAGGTTGTACGTTCCTCCTAGGTGCATCAGTCTATTTTTCATCCACATGATGATCCCGGCTATTTTCCGCAGCCTTCACGCCCCTGGAGACAGGGGTGCTGCATGAAGCGCAGGGTGCCAAACACCCTTAGCTGCTGTTAAATTTGGTAGGAAAAGAGCAACCAACACCTTCCAGGGTGTGCCCAGCTCCTGCCCTGCCAGTCCTGCCCCACCATCGGCCACGGCAGGCAAGGTCTGAGCTCTCTTTAATGTTTTAACGATTTAACCTGTTGGTTGAATCACAGATGAAAAGGCGACGGAGAGCCAGCAGCGATGCTCCCCGCCACGCGATGCTCTCCCTGAAATCCAGCAGCAAACCCTTGCAGCTCAGACCAAGCGCAGTGATTCGGGTGGCCGCTGCAGACCTTCCATTTAAAAGCCACCCCGCTCTACGGGGCTCACTCGGCGTGCCGGCACACACTGCCTTTAATTAAACACAGGAAGCTTCAAACGCAAACGCAGTT